TCCAGTCAGCATTTGTAATACTGTGCACCCGACTGCCCAAATATCTACATGCGGTTCATATTCTTCACGCAGAATCGATTCCGGGGCCATATACAGAGCAGTGCCCCTCAGTCTCGGCTTGTTTTCTTTTTCTTTCAGTTTCTTTCCGGCCCTCTTTGCAAGCCCAAAATCAGCAATCTTTGCAGTACTTTCTTGAACCCTTTTCTCCTTTCCGTTCAAACTCATTGAAAAGTCATCATTTTCCTCCACAAGCAATATATTATGAGGCTTGATATCACAGTGAACATAACCCTTCTTGTGAATGTAACTGAGACCCATAAGTAGAGATTTTGTGAAACGCCTGACTTCGCTCTCAGGCAATCCTCTGCCAAAACTCTGAATACGATCGGCCAAACTGCCACCAGCCGCGTACTCCAACAAGATGTTGTACCATTGCTCTCCATCTTCTTCGATCGTAAGGTCTTCCCCGAAACAGCGGATAATGTGAGGACAATCTGCAAAGTCACTCAACAACCTTTCTTCCTTGGCAAGGCAGCGAGACTTGTAGAATGGGGCAGATTTGACAGCCATGAGAGAAGGTAGTAGATCATTACTTCTTGTGGGTAAAACAACTGCAGCCACATACACCATTGCAGAACCTCCCTTTCCCAGTATTTTCCCTCTCCTCCACATCATTACACTCCAAGAAAACACTCTCTCTCTCTCTCTCTGCAAAACTCTCTTTCACTCTCAAAGAAACTCACTTACTCATTCACTCACTCTAGAATTTGCTGATAAGTGACGTTTATAGTAATCTATTTATAAGGTTTTGAGTTGCTTGGTGTGGAAGCAAACATGTTTGTTTTCGTTCTCTGAAGTTAGGATTGGATCTCTACGTTCCGGGTTAACGTACGAATTTCTTTAAATAAGATATGATTTATTTATTGCCCAAATCAAATCTAAGATAACGTGCTCATGGTTTTTTATTTTTTATTTTTTTTATATTTATGTTTTTAAATTTCCTAAATGCATGTAGTTGTTATGTGACCTATTTCAATAATTTGAAGTAAGATAATGTGCTCTTGTGACCTATTTCAATGATTTGAATTATGTATTTTGTTTAATTATATAAATTATTCATAAAAACTTTAAAAAAATTATATTGATATAATAATCATAACTCATAATTTTATTTGTATTTTAAATTGTTTGAAGAAAAAAAAAAAAACAGTCTAATTTTATAATTTTGATCATTTTAAAATTCCCCACATCCCCAACAACTCTTCCCTTTCTCTGTTTCCTAAATTATGTTAACTACCTGCCCTTATTAATGATGTATGAGAGAATATTTGATCAGGGCATGATTTGTGGGCTCAAATTAAATTTAGACAAGACTTGAGTTTACAACCTAAATAACCGGGAGTTTTATATACGCTAAAATTGAAATCTTATAAATTATATATGATTTTATTGTATTTGGATTAAATCATATTGCGATGCAATATATTTGGTACACAAAACTTGAATTAATTTTTTTGTTATGGTTGAAAATTTGTATGTTTTGCTGTATTTTTCTTTTCTTTTTTTTTTTAATTTTTAAAATCTGCAATACATTAATTTTTGGATAAATTATAAATAAACCTCTTGAGTTTATTTAAAATACAATTAGCCCCTATAGTTTTAAAAATTACATCCTGTCTCTTGAAATTTTTAATTTCATAACAAATAACTTTTTTTATTAATAAATTATCAAATCATTTAACAGTTTTTAATGATGTTAAAAATTTATTTCAAATAATAATTCAAATAATTTTATCATTATATAGAAGTGCACTTAGAAATTTTATTTTTCAATTAATTCTGAATTGGTCATATAACTTGGGATAAAAGAAGAGTTCAGCTACTACACATACACCATATTCTATTGTATGTTCTATCGCCTACTCACAATTGGAGTGGGATTGTGTAGATCCACACCCGTTGTGCTTCACTCGCATTATAAGTAGGCAATAAAATATACAGTGGAAAACGATGTCTTTCTACTCTTTCTCGTAAAACAATGACATAAAGTAATTATTAACTTTTAATTTTGAAATTTAACTTTCGAAATTTTGAAATTTAAAATAATATAGTAATGATTATCTTTTAACTTTCGTTCGCTAAACAAGTTGATATATTTTGAAATTCATTAAAATTTTAAGTCAAACTTCAAAAGCTATTGTTAAATTTAAGCTATGTTTAGTTTTAACTTTTTGGTTAAAAAAGTACAAAAATCAAAATTGACTACATAAGTCAATAAGATAAAATGTCACATCAAAACTATTAGTTATATTTTTTTCTCTCACAAAAATCAAAAATAAAAATCAAATGAGGTTAAAAAAGTCAGGCGAAAATAGTAAAAAAAACCAGAAGTCAGACTATTTTAACTCTTCCCAAATGAAGACTTATATGTATTATAAAAAAATTGAACTACCAGAGCTCAATTTAAAAAATATTCAAATTATACTTAAAAAATCTACTATTCAACTCATATTTACTACTTATTTTTTATTTTTTTTATTACCAATCAAAGAGATTATTTGTATGAAAATTAAACGGGAATAATCATAATTTAACAACTAGTCTCATAATGTGGAAGCAACAACCAATCGAAGAAAAATCACACAATGGGAAACAAATGAAAACTGCAATAAGAAAAATTATATTCATACAAAAACATTATATAAATGTTGTGACAACATTATTCATGTAAATAAATTCATCTGTATACATGTTTTATTTTGAAATGAAAAATTTATAATAAATCACATCATTTTATATAAATTTTTTATTTACATATCATTACGCATATAACAAAAAGTTCCATAACATAGAAAAAAAATTCTGAGTTAGTGCATATAGATTCGGGTAAATGTTAAATGACTACCTCACTTAACACAGTTAATTGGTTTATAACCCTATAATTATTTTAAGCAAGGTCTTTAACATAATGGGAATTTCTTGGCACCACACAACTATTCTTTATATTTTTTTATATTTTATTTTGTGAGCCTCACTCTAGCTCTATAATGATAATTCTAATAGTTCATCTCATAAACTCAACAATAAAGATGGGTTGTGCAAAAACAAGAAAAAAAAAAAAAGAAAATTCATTGAACATCACTAGGCACATGAAGAAATACATAATGTTAAAATAAACGATAATTATGAGTTTAAACTAAACTATTAGTTTCTATTTAATGAAACAAAATACGATTTGTTTATCTAATCATTGATATTCAATAAAACTAATGTTGTACATAGACGGTTATCATCGCGTGATTTACGAATTATTACAAATTTAGAGTGATTCGTTTGGAAAGTGAGTTGGCTTTTTGCCTATTTTAGGCTTTGTTTAGGAACAAGCTAATTTAGTAATTTTTTGGCTATTTGGCTAAAATATGAGCTAAAAAAAACTAGCATGTTTGGGATGACTTTTTGGCTTTTTACGAAAGATGTGCAAAAAATAAAGAGAAAAGAGAATTTTTGACTTTTTGATATGGGTTATTAGTTTTTTGGCTAATTTAATAATTTTTTGACTTTTTGACTAAAAAAGAGAGTTTCCAAACGAGGCTTTAGTATTGGGCTAAAAAGCCTCATTTGGAAAGGTTTTAATAACTTTTTTGATTTTTTGTGAGAAAAAGAATGTAATGATTATGAGTTGAATGTGATGTTTTGTCTTATTAAACTAAAATGTCTATTTTTTTTTTTTGGTTATTTTAGCCAAAAAAAAAAAAAAAAAAAAAAAAAAAACAAAAAAAACCCAACCTCAACAGAGGCAAAATATGATGAAGTATGAAAAATTAGTAGGGAGAGGACCCATTTCCTAACAAAATCCATCATTTAAATATTTTTGGTGGGCCCCTATAGCCACGGGGGCCAACTAATATAACCGCAACTTTTGAACTTCCCGCCAATGTTGTCTGATGAATATTGATTGGGGAGAGAGAGAGAGAGAGAGAGAGAGAGAGATCTCCATTCAAATCTCATATGTATAGGCTATATAGCCAGAGAAACTTCCTCGAACCCCCACTGCAAATGGGGTAAAACTCACTCTGCTCAGATAATTCAGTCCAAATCCATGGATCCCCACAATGACTTTGCTTCCAGAAGCCTGCAAAGTGTGAGCAAAGACTATCCCATGCATTTGTTTAACATTGAATTTTTGTTTGAATGGGTTTGTTTTATTAGTTTTTTTTTTCTGTGTGCATATGAGGTGTTAGCCGTAATGCATATTTGATTGCCTCGCTTATGATTGTCAGGCCGGCCCTGAATTCGTCGGGGCCTAAGGCGAATTTCAGAAATGGGGCCCTTTTATATTGAAAAAAAATTCATGAATAAAATGATAAGTTACAATTTTTTTATTTGTTTGTAACCATAAAAAAATTTACTTACACATATAATCATTAAAATTATAAATAAAACAATTTAATAAAACAAAATTAGAACAAAAAAATTACGAAAAAATTATTCAATTAAAATTGATAAAGACCTAGGTAAAAAAATTTGAGCAAAATTATTTATTCCACTAAAATCTAATAGATAAAGAAGGTAAAAATAAAAAATAAAAAAAAATAGGGCCCATATATTGTCTGTATTATTTTTCTTGAGCCCAAACACTTTTTTTTTAATATATATTTTCATTTTAATAAATATGGACCAAACTACACTTATAAATAAATATGGAGTAAATCATACATGGACCAAAAAAAATGTTTTGGACCCCTTTAAATTGATCCTAAAATAAAAAAATAAAAAAAACATTGAGCCTGTAATATTTTACCAAATTTAGGGGCCCTATTTTTGGGCCAAATTTAGGGGCTCTATGTTATATATGTTTATATGTTTTACCAAATTTAGGGACCCTATTGTTTTTTATTTATTTATTTATATATTTTCATTTTAATAAATATGGACCAAACTACACTTATAAATAAATATGGAGTAAATCATACATGGACCAAAAAAAATGTTTTGGAGCCCTTTAAATTGATCCTAAAATAAAAAAATAAAAAAAACATTGAGCCTGTAATATTTTACCAAATTTAGGGGCCCTATTTTTGGGCCAAATTTAGGGGCTCTATGTTATATATGTTTATATGTTTTACCAAATTTAGGGACCCTATTGTTTTTTATTTATTTATTTATATATTTTCATTTTAATAAATATGGGCCAAACACATTTATAAATAAATATGGGCTAAATTATACATGGGCCCAATAAAACATTTGGGGCCCTTTAAATTGATCTTAAATAAAACCAAAAAAAAAAAAAAGGTTAAACCTATAACAATTTTTTAAATTTGAGGCCCTATTTTTAGGCCAAAATATGAAGCCTAAGGCACAAGCCTTACCTGCCTTAGGGCAGGGCCGGCCCTGATGATTGTACTGAAAAATTGGCTAAGGTCTTGAAAAAGGCATTTACAATCATGTATATCCAGAGGTGGCTTCCATTGTTCTATGTTCCATCATTGGTGGTATTGCCCCTTTCTATTAAAGGTATGTGAACTTTTCGAAAAACTGTGTTATATGGAGCATTTTGGTGTTTGATTGTATTGGAGTGGGTAATGAAACTTCTTGTAGTATTATTCTCTGTTGCCTTAGCAAACTTGTATCTATGCGCTTAGATGAAAAGTATTCTAAACTTACCCATTACATAGTTTTTCATGTTATTATACATTACAACAAAAAAAGGCCTATGGTGACGAAAACACGTGAT